TGGTAATAGAAGTATAATTTGTATATCACAGAACTCATTCATATAAAGTATAGAATTTAAATACTTTTTAGATGTGTTCATACACTTGTGTCACCAGTACCACCTTTATCACTCTGAAGGGACATTACATATTCTTTAGCAGTTGACCTTTATTTCCTCTCAGTGCTCCAGCCCTAGGCAACCACTAATGTACTTTCTATCTATACACTTGCCTATTGTGGACATTTTATATAAATGTATATCATACCATATGTACTATTTTCCATTATCTTTTAATTATTAGGACTGCAGTGTTCATCTGTGTTCGTGCATTACTCAAATTTCTGTTGAGAATTAGTTGAGAACTACTGTGTACGATTTCAAGTTCACTGTGGCTTGTTTTTTTTAACCTAACATATGGTTTATCCTACAGAATATTTCATACATATTGAAGATAATGTGTGTTCTGTTCACTTGGCGTGGAGTATTGTGAAGATGTCTATTAGGTCTTCATGATTTATCATGTTATTCAAACATTTATTTCCTTCTGCTTAATTCTCCCATCCATTATTTAAAGTAGAGCACTGAAGTCTTCAGCTATTATTGCATAAATGTCTGTTTCCCCTTCAATTTTGTCAGTTGTTGCTTCATGTATTTTCACCCTGTTGTTAGATACATTATTTGTTTAGAGTTGACAGAGCATCTTGATAGATGAGTCTTTGTCATTGTAAAATGTCCCTTTCTGTATCTATCAATATTCTTTCCTGTAAAGTCTGTTATTAGTCTGAATACTTCAGCTTTCAAAAAGTTACTATTTACATAATAGATCTTTTTCAGTCCTTTTACTTTTATCTTGTTTGTGCCATTGAATCTAAGCGTGTCTTCCAGAGTCAGTGCCTGGTTGGAGGTTGTTTTTTATTCAGTTTGACAATCACATTTTGCACTGTGTTTTATAATTTCATATTTGCCTATACTTTACTAATGGCTACTTTTTTATGCAAATTTGAATTTATATCCATAGTTATTAATGTTTTTTCTGAAGAATATCTGCAGGTAAAAAATACTCTCATCTTTGGTATTTCTGGGATGACTTTATTTTGCTTTTATTTTTGAAAGACAATATTGTGAAGTATTGGGTTGAGGGTTGACAGTGTTTTTCTTTTAGTAATTTGTATCTATCATTTCACTACTCTTCATTATTCTTGATTAAAATTGACTTTTAGAGTTTCTTTGAATATGATGGATTATTTTACTCTTGATGCATTCAACAGTCCCTTTTTACTGGCTTTCAGCATTTGCTAATGTTGTTTGTATAATTTTTTGGCATTCATCCTACTTTGCATGTATTGAGCTTCTTGGATATATGATATAATGGTTTATTCTGTGTTAAGAAAGTAGATACATGTTCAGCCATGATGGCTTATATTTTTTCATTACATCTCTTTTTCCTCTCATTCTGTTAGTTACAGTACTGTATACCACATTTTTGGTTTACTAATGATTTACTACATATCTTGTAGGTTCTGGTAATTTTTAAAAATTCTTTGTTCTTGTTATCCTTCAGAGTATTTAATTTCTCTTTTAATTTAAATTTGGTGATTTTTTTTCCTTCTTATAGTTTAAATCTACTATTGTGCTCTGATGATTTTTTTTTTACTTTAGGTATTGTACTTATGAATTTCAGAGTGTCTAGTTTACTTCTTTTTTATAATTTCTATCCCTGTATTTGTACTCTGTATTTGATGACACATTATAATACCTTCCATATAATGGATATTATATAGTTAAATTTAATACCTATGACTTCTCAAAGTTAGTTACCCTTGCCTACTTTTTCGTATATGTATCAGCCCTATTCTTTGTATGATATATTTGTCCTTTTTCTGTAACTACATATAATGAAATATTAGAGGCTGTTATTTTATAAAGAAAAACAGCTTTCATTTAGCTCACAGTTTGGAATTTTCAAAGTCCATGCCATATGATGTCAGCTCTGAAGAGGGTATGTTTGTACATGCAAGAGAGATAGGAAATCATAACAAGGGGAGGGACTAGTCTTGCAACTTCTCACGAGGCTTTACTTCTACTTAAAGGTCCTACCACCTTTGAACATTACTGTACTAAAGACCTAACTTCTAACAAATGAAAACTTGAGGGGCACACTCAAACTGTATCTAAAATGTAGCACATTACTTGTGATATTTATTGAAAAATTTAGAATTTAACATAATTTATTGTATCAATTGGGGTATGGGAGACTTGTCTATTTAGTGACTAGGTGGATTATGTTAGAAAACTCTATTTCTCTTACAGTGTGGACATCTACTACGAGAAAATGCAGCCTTGGACATGTGCACAGATACTTTGTGATAACAGTGGTTTTAGTGTCCTATCCCCAGATCTCTCATTAAATTGTCTTCCTGTGTTGCTATCACACCCAGGTTTTTGGTTCTTCTGAATTCTCTTGGATTGCTTTATTATTTTTCACAGTACCCTGGGCTGTAAATTGTTCTACAATGTTATGCAATTAAATTTTTATCCTTCTGCAGGGGTAGTTTTTAAGGTGAGTCCTTAAGGTTTTTGTGATGCCTGGAAGGCTTTTCTTAGCATTTTCCTGGTTCTCCCTAGTGAACTATCTGCCCTAATGATTTAGTTTATTGCTCTTGTGAAGCTGCCAGCTTCCTCTTAATTGTTTGCCATCAAAAATCTTAATTGTTCTTCAGAGGACTCTTAGGCTTGAACTTCCCCCTCATCTGAGTTAAAATAAAGTAAGTTCCTCTGGGGAGAATGGTTTCTTTATATGCCTGCCTTTCCTTCTGGTAAAAATCTCTGAACCAGATCTCCAGAGCCTGGGATAGTGACTGACCCACTTCTCATAGTTTCACCCTTGCTGGGGGCTGGGTATAGGAAGTAGTCTCTTGCTTCTCCTGGTGTGCAGACTACTCCATCACCACCACCATGAGTGGGGTGAGAAGAGAGTTTATTGGTGTGCTCTTCCTGGTTTAGAACCTATTTGATTGAAGCAGGGGAGCTCCTGACCTCTCAGCTGCACTTTCAGGAGTTGGGGCTCGTAGAAGTGGAGAACAGGCAGGAAAATGGTGGCAGCCTGCCCTTCCCTGGGACACATCGTAGACTTCCAATATATTTTGGAGTCAGAGGTAGCTCTGTGTTTTTTATTATGCTTACCTATGGAGAAATGAGTCTTGACACTGACCTGGGAGGTGAAAGATAGAGATGGATATTTCAAATGCCATAGAGGCTCACTGTTGTTTCAGTTTTAGCAGATCTTTTTCCAATTCATGTGCCTTCCTGTGCTAAGTTTGTCTTTAGAACAACTTCTCTTTAAAGGTTGTTATATTGACTGATTTTTATCGGTTATGTTTGTTTTGCTAAGAGTCATATGTTTGTTTCTGCAGGGATTGTCAAGCCACCTTTGAATGTGATCTAGTGGTTATGTTTTAAAGGCTTGCTTGTGACAGGGTTTGACATTTAATTTTTTATTGAGTTTTTCAGGTGCCGTTTAGTATTATTTACAGGTATAGTTAAAAACATTTTCCTTCTTTCTGCCTCAGAAACTCTCATTTAAAAAAGATTTTATCTTTGGGTGAATTTGAATCTTAAATCACTCCAAAGAACTAAGTTGTAGTTCAAGATCTTTGGCATATTAACTGTAATATTTTTGGCTACTTATCCACCTTTAACCTGTTTGCTCATCCAAAATACTGAGACAATAGTAGATGTTTTTAAGTTATATAATGCATGTGAAAACACTTTTAAGCTTTAAAAACTTGAGTTGGAAAGTATTGTAAATCAAATTCAAACTAAATTATAGTACCTCTTTTCTGGTTTTAATCTTATATAAGAATAGTAATTGTAAAATTTATTTTAGAGAGTCACTTGTTATAGTTTATGTGATTTTAAAAATTCTTCATATTTTCATATAATAAACTTATAAAATTGGGTAAGATATCATTTAGCCAGTGATTACTTTAGAAAAGTTTATTGTGGAATAATAATAGCTGAAGGGGAAAACAACATTTTTAGTAAATACCTAGTAGCTTAATAATTTATTCATTATTTTCTAATTTTGATGGCTTTGGTAATCCAATAGACTTCATTTTAATATGGGGAAAATATGATCATGTTATATAAGTTTTAAAAGTATCGTAAAATCTAAACAACTTTGAAGACGGTCTTGGAGTTCATCAAATCTAACAAATTTCTTTCTCTGGGCCCATGTCAGATCCTTCCCAGCCCCTCCATCAACAGAGTACAGAGAATTACTGTTATACACAGTCTCCGGATTCCATTTTTATTCCATTTTACTTTTTAGGTGTTCATAGTTTAGGAATCATGAATATCATATATTTCACTTATATTTTATTATAGGTTCTAGTCAGGATGTTGCCTGGTTTGAAAAACCAAAGATCAAAAAGAAGTAATTTACTTCAAATTTTATGACTAATAGATATTAAAAGCCAAATTCACAGTTTTAAATCACTTATTTCCCTGCCTTAAACATATAGTACCTACTTGGTATTGTATATCAGAGACTCAAAGATTAAAACTGGAATTCTCTAATGCTTCAACTCAGAGCTCTCACAGTTTAGGGCGAAAGAAAAATCTCAGCAGCAGTTACTGTTTAGGTTGGTTTGGCCTGACAAAGATATTTGCGTGATCTCAGACAAATATACAAATCTAAATTAGCCAGGAAATTTACTGAAAGAGGAGGGCTTTTGAGATGCACTTCATTTCGCATGACAACAATAATATTGCCTAGAATGATTTCTAGTACAATCTTAGTTGTCACTTTTTTATTTATATCTTAATCTGAATTTCTTTCCTTTATTTTCCTCAGTGTAGATTCTCCACTTACCAAAAAGGAATAAAAATTATTTTCTTTATGAAAGCTTTCAGCTACTGAAATCACTCTGTTCCTTTTAAGTCTTTTCTTCAGATTTTTCTTCAGGTATTTTGTATTGCTTTTGAACATGTAAAAATGTTGAAAGATGTTGGGAAAAATGTCAATTGGATCAAACTGGAGCATTTATTTCTATGGCTTTTCCTCTCTGGTGAAAGTATAATTGTTCCTGTTGATGATATTTGTTTATTTTTCATGAACATTTATGTTTTTGGCCATAGTTACTTCTGACAAATTAGTAGAAAATGTAATAGGAATTACTTCACATTTTATCGAGGATAGGTATGTTAATATAAGGTAAGGTAATTACTTGAGGAACTTTGTCTTATTTTGGTCAGTTCATACCATTTTTATTTTACTATTTATTGGTTTTTCCCTAAAGGAAAATTGTTACTTCTTATGTGTGCCATATGATTTTTTGTTGTAATTGGATTTTGCTATGTAGGTCTTTTTTCTTCTTCTTCTTCTTCTTTTTTTTTTAGCCAAGCACAGGATTTGTCACTTAGCTTTATTAGACACCATCTAGCCAATTTTGGATCATTTTCTGATTTGTTTAGATCATATGTAATTATCCTCTCACAGACAAATTTACTTTCCTATAAATTCCTTTCTTTAGAGAACTGGTGGCAAATCTATGGCACTGACACGTGTGCCATAGCTGGCCATTGTCACTGAGAACTCTAAAAAGTTTGCAACCATTGTTTTTTGATTTTTTTAAATACTGACATGTTAACATATGCTTACACATTGTTTATACTATCTTCAGAATATCCTGGCTTTAAATCCTCGCACACAAGCCCATGCAACTCTACGTTCTACTTTGGCTAAGAAATTAGACAAGAAACATTGGAAAAGAAACCCTGATAAGAACTGTTTTGTAAGTACCACTGAAAAATTATCTTATTGCAGACACTGTAAAACAAAATTTTCCGTATACTTAGAAATATAATTGAATATGAGTAAAGTACAACTATGCTATTTTCAGATTTTATTTTTATTTTTTATTTTTTTGGTACCAGGGATTGAACCTGGGACCTTGCACTTGTGAGGCAGGTGGGGAACCACTAAGCTAAATCCCAGGCCCAGGATTTTAAATGTTTTATATTTGAGTAGTCTCAAAACTGTGTTTCATTTTGGTGCTATAAAAAAATCTGAAACAGACTAGAAAAAAATGTATTTTTTTATAAAATGGAGTATTATCCATAAAAAATGAGAAACTGGAGACATTTGTAGCTAAATGGATGTACATAGAGGCTAACCTCTTAAGTGAAATAAATAGGACACCCTTGAGTAAGTACTGAATAGTTTCTCTGGTTGGAAAAAATAAAATTGTAAATAAAATTCAAATGGTATAATTGATAATGTGAAATAGGAAGAAAGTGGCTAAAGGGGAAGTGAGGAGGGGAGGGGAAAGGAAATAAAGGCAAAGAAAAAATGTGAACAAAGGAAAAAATGGAAACAAAGTCTTTGTAAATAGGGAAGGGTGAAAGGGGTGGAAGGAAGGCAGGGGTATGGGAAAAAGTAAGAACCAAGATATATCATGTAAAGATACAAGATCCCAATGATTAATATAATTATATTGTTTGTTTTAAATGTACCAGTAAACAAGGGGGAAAAATCTGAAACACTTAAAAATCCAAAGTTTAGTTTAATATCGATTTTTCCCCTAAAATCTTTACAATGTTCCTTGAATTGTTTTCTAATAATAACAGGCCATTACAGTGTTTCCATATTGTAGATATAGTCTAAATGAAGATGATTATAAATTACTATTCTCTATATACTGTTTGAAAATGTACTCTTGGGCAACATTTGAATGCTATATGTTCAATATAAAATGTCTGATATTCTTAGGTGAATTATAGGAGCAATATAGTTTCTCTGAGATTTCTGATTGCTAGATAGTTACTTACCTGGGCCTATAGAGTGATCACAGAGTTGAGACTGGAAGACCATAAGTGGGTATGTTAGCTTTGCATCACTTGGGCAAAATCCCTAATGTGAGTCAACTTTAAGAAGAAAATACTCAGTTTTTTTGCTCACAGTTTTAAAGGTTTCAGTCCATGGTTAATAGGCTCCATTGCTTTAACCTGTGGAAAGTAAGCAATGTTATGATAGAAGAATATAGCAGAAGAATATTACTTAATTTGTGGCAGCCAAGAGGCAGAGAGAAAGAGCCAGGATAAGATATACCCTCTCAGGATATGCCCCAGTGACCTGTTTCCTTTATTGAGGTCCCACATCCTAGCAGTTATGAAATCATTATAGGTTAATCCACTGATGAGGTTAGCACCCCATGATGCACTCACCTATGAAAAACCACTCTTCAGAGCATGTATGTCTTTCAGGGATGTAACACTGGTTGGGTGGCATATACCATAACAATGGATGTGAGTATAATCTTAAAGCCAGTATTTTAAATGCAATCCAAGGTGTATGTAAATATTTATCTTTGAAGAGAAGTTTCTTTTTTTTACTGATTTTCCCTCACATTGATTTTTTGCAAAATAATTAGGCCATTAATAGCATGAACAGACTTGATGGAAATTAGCCCTTTGGGTACTAGGGTAGAAAGAGAAGCTATGTGTTCGCAAATATGTGTGTCTTTACCTAACTTTTTTTAAAAAAAATTATATCAGTGGCCACTCAGTAAAGTGTTTTGAATGCTACAAAGCAGTAGAAACACACAGAAACAACAGGGCAGGAAAAGATCCCTTAAAAATAATCTGGATTATGAAATCAAGTTTCTTTGCTTCATTTCTGTAAGTTTTGCTGCTGTGATTTTTCCACTGTTTGTCTTTGGAATGACAACAATATGGTCAAAATTAAATGCAGTGCAGGTTTACCCCATATAAAGAATAGGAGTAATTGAAGGACCTTGAGAATAGAACCATCTAACTTTCAGACTTATCTCTGATTTTGTGTGTATGCCTCTGTCCAAATATCCTCTTTTTGTAAGGATGACAGTTAAATTAGATTAGGACTTTATTTTAATTTAATTACTTCTTTAAATATTGTCTCCAAATAGATTCACAATTTTAGATACTGAAGGTAGGGATTTTAACATGAATTTTGGAGAGATACAGTTCAGCCTATAACAAAGCCTTTGAATTATCAACATATTCACTAATTCATCTTCTAGTAGTATATCCTAGGGAAAGAATTAGGAATGTAGGTAAAGCTTAATTAAGTAAAAGAGGATTATCCTAGGCATTACTAGTCAATTGAGAAAAAAGTAGGGGGAACTCTGCTGAATTGTAACTATTGGGTCATATTTAAATAAATTAAAGCAAATCCATTTAATGGGAAATTGTACAACCATTAAAAATTATTTTTACATAGTTAATAATATGGATAAAACCTCACAATCTATATTACAAGAAAAGTTATGAAACATCACTGTATTTAATAGTGATTATGTATATATTTTTATATTTAACCACAAATAATAAAGCATACTAACATATTAATAGTTATCTGTTTTCTTGGCACATGTATTTTCAGGTTTTCTACAATGAGCATGTATTAGTGGAAAAATAAAATTAAAATTTTAAAGCTATGTCAATTAATGTACATATATGCTTGAAAACTCAAGTGATGTATACCACACATGTATTAACTGTGAGGTTCAATTACCAAAGGGGAAATGGAAACTCAAGTTCAAATTTATCCTCAGTATGCATAGTGAAATTATTTTTATCATTTTTAAATTATGTGTTTTAATAAACAATACTACCACAATATATGATTTGCTTTTAATTTATGAATTTTTATGCATCTGTTTTATAATCACTGTACTAAATTAATAATCTTTGTATATAAAAGAAATATAAGGAGAATGGAAGAGTGGAGATTTAAAGTCTGGAAGAAGTTGAAACCAAAAAAAAAGCCATAGACTCGGTCACATCGTAGCCCAAACCAAAGTCTGTTCTCTCTAGTCAAAGAGCCAGGAAAAGAGTAGCCCAGTAACACAGAAAAACCATGACGGCAACTATTCTACTCCGATCAGATACTCTAAAAACACACAAAATTGGCCCCTTCTTCTGGGACTCTAGTAAAAACCGTTGGGCAACCAGATTTCATCCTGTAATAAGCTAATGAAATACCCCAGCACCCCTACCCCAATGCTGTCAGAATGCCAGTAGAGAGCCAGAGCTTTCGTTCCTCCCAGCTAGCGGTCACCAGTAAGAAACAGCTCGCCTGCTCCCCAGATTTTGGTGTCAGCAGAGACACTTCTGAATTCACCACCATCACACTAAATAGGAGATGGCAGAGATGATAAAACAGAAGTCACAAAAGAAGTAATGGGTGAAGCCTTCCTAACTCTACAAGTGAAACAAACCTATGGAGTTAAAAAAACATAAGTGAAACATGAAGAAATCCACAGCAAGAGAAAACTTAAATAAAACTTCTGAAACTAAGTACTCAGAAAATATCTTAAAAGCAGTCATCCCTCTTGCCTCAAGGTAGGAACCACAGCTATGAGTAGTTGTGCTCCTGAGCCCCACTTTGTGAACCTGGCTGGGAGAGTACCACACCATCGACTGTGCCTTTGCTTAGCACAAACCTGCTTCAGGTGTAACCTGCTTCACCCTTCTCTTGGGTTTTGAAGTGCTTGTACACCTAAATCCCTGTGTGAATTTTGCTCTAGGGAGAAAAAAAAACTTCAAACTGCTAAAATTTCTGTTTCAGTCTTACTTAGCAGCATTTGTTGCAGCTAGTCATTCTCTTTATTCTGAAATATTCTCTTCACATGGCTTCCAGGGCATACAGTTGCCTGCTTTGCTTTTTACTCATTAGTATCTCCTTCATACTCTTACTTGGCTTCTTTGTTGATTACTCCTCATCTATAAATATTTCAGTGGCTTAGGTATCAATGGATACCTCCTCTCCACTTGCTCTCTTTTCTTCTTTCTTCCTTTTCTTCCTTGCTTCCACCTTTTGTCCTTTTTCATTCTTCTTTCTTTTAAAGTACTCACTCTGTTGGTGATCTCATTGTATATACCATCTTTAGACAGTTTCCCCCTGAATTTCTGTATGTAGCCTGCATTCCTATCTCTGATTCTATAACCAAATGCCTACTGAATGCCTCTTTTTAGATGTCTAATAGCATCTTAAACATAGCATGCTGAAAAAATTCAAATGATGATCTCTCCTTTAAAACCTATTCTCTATAGTCTTCTCCATCCATCCTTTCATTTAGAACAAAATATTAGTATTTAATTTTTAAAAACTTTTCTCACCTTCCATAACTAATTAGAAGATCCCTTTGCCTATGTCCTCAAATATATCCAGAATCTGACTTCCTCTCACCACCTACACCAATACCCAAATTTCTAAGCCATCATTGTTATTCTTCACCTAGATTACTCCAAAAGCCTTGGAATGAATCACCATGTTTATGTTCTTTTCCAGTGGTATTTTAAAATAATATAGGTTAGGAATGCCTTAAAAATTTCTGCTCTTATAATCTTAGTGATTGTTCATTGAACTCACATTATGTGCAATTTACTTTGTGCAGTTTCATGTCAGCAAGGCCTTTTCTGATCATTGTCTTTAAACTCTAACTTGCTTTTTTAAACCTTGCTTTTATTAGTCTTCCTTGCTTCATTATTTCTTTACAATACTTATTACTGTTATACTCTACTTTTTACTCATAACTTGTTCATTAATGAATAAATGTTTAGGACACTTCTTTTTTATATATTCTTTACATGGGAGATAAAAGGATTACATATTTTCATACTGTATAGTCTTTTATAGTTCCTAGAGTACCTTTGCATATTGCATTTATTTTTTACCTCATAGCATGTACATGACTCAGAAATGTTTCCTTATTTTACTGATGATAATGACTATTGTGAAAAATTTTTAAAT